CGTCCCGGGTGAGACCCCATTGGTCCCCACACTCACTCCCAAAACTCGATGACAGGCGAGCGCTTGTTGGCCAGGTCAGTGCAGCTGACATTGAAGGAGCCAGCGCTGGCATTGGCGGTGCCGTTGAGGCAGAGGTCCAGGTGGAAGAGCTCGGTGCACTGCTCAGTGTTCCAGGAGTGGCCACAGGTGGCCCAGGGCAGGGTGTCCGTCAGCGAGTGCACCAGGTAGAAGAGCCCCCACACCAGGATCATGATGTAGTAGGAGTTACAGAAGAAGACGATCACCATGGAAGCCAGGCCCAGACCTGCAGCACGGGGAGATCAGTGCCCGTGGGCAACCCGCGGGCAACCGGCAGCCCGGTGGGGTGGGAGAGCCAGCAGGCTGGGTGGGATGGGGGAGGATGTGGGGTGCTGGTGGGGACACAGGGAGCCATCAGTCCAGGGTAGGACAAGGGGGAGCTACTGGGGGATGCGGGGAGCTGGCTGCCCCGGGCAGGACAAGGGGAGCTGGTGGGGATGGGACGGGGGGAGCTGGAAACCCCAGGGGACGTAGGCAACTGGTGGGGACGGGAGAGGGGAAGGTGGCAGCCCCTGGCAGGACAGGGTGGGGACAGTCGGCAGCATGGCTCAGGACAAGGGGGGATCTGGCAGCCCCCCGGGAACACCGGCAGCAGGCAGGGACACCGGCAGCACGTAGGCAGGCAGGGTTGGGCAGGGCAGTGCAGGGTGCCACGGGGCACGGGTACAGGCAGTTGCCACCCTTGGCCGGGGCGCAGGGCAGGAGTGGGAGGCAGGCAAGGCAGGGTGCAGGGCAGGGTGCACGGGAAGCAGGCAGGGTGACACCAGCCCCGGGCAGGCTGCAGGCAGCTGGTGCCCCGGGCAGAGTGCTGCCAGCCTGGCACAGGGTGCCAGGGGCCACGGGCAGGGTGCAAGGGGCCACGGGCAGGGCGCAGGGTGCCAGGGGCCACGGGCAGGGCAAGGGCAGGGTGCAGCATTACCCTTGAAGAGGGGGGCAATGTTCCAGGCGGCGATACCCCCCTGTTTCATGAACTGCCCCAGGGCCACCTCCAGGAAGAAGACAGGAATGCCACCCACGAAGACGATGAGCAGATAGGGGATGAGGAAGACGCCTGGG